TACAACTCCAGCTTTAGGGGACCTTGGCTGCCTCTGCAAGCACTTCAGTAAACGCGTGCATGTGCGCGTGCACACACACACACACACTACACAGTAACACAGCAATACAATAAATATTTTTAATTGCCTAGTTCACCATAAACCAATATGTGATTCTATTTGCAAAGACAACTCACAGCCCATGCTGTGTGACTCTTATTCCACAAATTAAATCATTAATTCTACACTAATTCAATTGCTATCAGTCAGGGGAACCAATGTCATGTGTGGGTGTTTTATAAAGCTTAACTTGCTCTAAGTGTCTCTATTCCAAGTTGCTCTAGTTATCTTAGATTATTAACACATGGTTTGAGGAATGCTGGTTTAGGTGACTGTCCCACTTGGATCTGATATAGGGTCTCACACCATTCAGTCATACATTACCAGTGGCTCTCTAGACACTTAGCTTGTATTTGTCCTCAGGAAAGGTCATTGATATATATTTTGTAGAATAGATGACACCCTTTTTAATGTATTACTTTGTATTCTTTACATTACACATATATCAAAATAAAATACATAAATGTCTTTGTTTGACTGTATTTATTTCTGCCATGTTCAAGAAGATGTCCCTATTCCTGGGTTGTAATTTGTTTTACAAATTGACTAATAATGAGTCTAATAATAAGTGGATGCTAGATTGTTCAGGCATGAAACTTTAAAAGATGAGTGTAGACCAGCTGGAATCCTTTCACGTGCCTTCATAGCCCATGTTCCTTGGTTCTCCCCTTGAAGTACAGCCGCGCCTGCCACTTCCTGCCATGTTTCCCTGCTCTGATGGATCCGTATTGCTCTGGAACCATAAGCCCAAATAAACTCTTCATAAGTTGCTTTGGCCATAGTATTTTATCTCAACAATTAATATACTTGGTCTGTTACAAGGGCCTATGAAAGTCTTCTGAGAAAAACTAGACAGTAAATATAGGATTTGAAGGTTACACTTCAACTTTGGATGTTGGGAACATAGCATGAAGGTCCTTGAGCCACAGACCTCCAGAGAAACCAGGAATGTTAAGCATACAGGGTTGTCTTTCCAATGAGAAAGACATAAAAGCATCTAGAAAGCTGGGAATTGGAGGTGACTAATAGCCCAGTGCTCTGCATTATCTGTTAAGATAAGCCATATCCAGCTCCTGCAACAAAGACCAGAGATGTCCAGTAATCTAAATGATACTTATAGCCAGGGGCTCCCCAGTCTCCCACAACCATGACCAGAGATATCTAGTAGTCTAAATGACCCTTATAGCCAGAGGCTGCCCCAAGGTCCCACAACAATGACTAGCAGTTGTTAATATTCCAAATGACCTCTGTGCTATCTGTATTACCAAGACCAGGCCAGACCCTTCTTAGGCCCATAACCTAGTATAGGTACCCTGTCCGTAGAACCCATCTTCTTGGAAAAAATCACAGGTACCCTGAGTCGAGTGTCAATATAATTACACCTCTTCTGCACTGAGCATTGTGTTATACCAGGATACTTTTTATTTTTCCCAGATTGTATTGTATTTTAAATATGCTGGCAATGAACCACCTGGTTTCACACTCTTTAGAAGTCTTGATCCAGTTTGACGAAGTCAATCTGGACTGAGTTTTTATTCTCCTCTCTTCACACTGATCACTTCCCTGTCGGGCACCCATAGAATCCCCTTCCCTTAGAGAACAATTAGCCATAGGCAAGGAGGGGTGTCTGTGTTCCAATGACATTCCCCTTCTAGACTCTGAAATTTAAATTCATGTAGTTATCATGTGCCACAAAAATGTTCTTCTTATGTTTTTCAGCTATTCAAAAACACCCCTGTGTTTTTGGAAGTACAAAACAAGGGGCAAGTAGGATTTGGCAAGTCCAGCCTTATAGTTTGTATTTGTGTTCCTGCTTCAGTTTGGTAGTATAAAGTATTTCATTCCCTAGATTGCAATAGCATTTAAATAAGTCTTAATAATTTTTTTTAAAAATGTTTTATGTGTATGGTGTTTTTCCTGCATGCATGTCTGATGGGAGATGTCATTCTGTAAATATGTTTCTCGTATTGGTTAATGAATAAAGTACTGTTGGCCAATAGGAAAGCAAGATAGGTAGGACAAGGAGACTAGGTGGAGAGAGGAAGTAGTAGGGAGGGGATTGGAGATGGAAGAAGGAGAGAGCAGAACGCCAACCCCTCTCTCTGGTAAGATGAGACCATGTGGAAATACTTAGGTTAATAGAAATGGGTTAATATTTAAGACAGAGCTAGCTGATAAGAAACTATCTGGCTAGCAAGCTCCAGAGATCCCTGGTCTCTGCCTCTCCAAAGCTGGAAGAGCAACCAATACCTGGCTTTTTTTTTTTTTTTTTTTTTTTTTTTTTTTAAGATTCATTTATTATGTTTACAATGTTCTGCCTGCATGCCAGAAGCGGGCACCAGTTCTCATTATAGGTGGTTATGGGCCATCACGTGGTTGCTGGAAATTGAAATCAGGATCTTTGGAAGAACAGACAGTGTTCTTAATCTCTGAGCCATCTCTGCATCTCCTGAATACCTGGCTTTTTAATATGTGTTCTTGGTAATCAAACTCAGGACTTTTATGCTTGCTGAACAAACACATTACTGACTGAGCCATCTCTTCAGTCCCATGTGTTTGTTTTTAATGGTAAGGCAAACTGAAAGGAACAGCTCCGCTCCTTTACAGATCTCCCCTTAAGTCCTAAGCCCAGTCAGTCTGTGGTGAAGGAACTGAAACCATGTTATTATGATGCTACTCTTCTCTGTGTTTGGAGTGGTTTCAAGATCCTAGAACCAAATCAGAGTTCTGAGGGCAAAAAGGAAACAGGAAGGGAAAGGGCAAAGAGACAGCTGCCTCCCACACCGCTAGATTCTTAGGTCAGGAAACTCTGAAGAAGGCTGTGTGCTTGGAGCCTTACCACATTGTTTATTTCCTTCAAAGACCCTTAGAGAATTTTTATTCAAGAAATTGCCCTAGAAGAAATTCTATTGAATTTCCCACCTTTGTGGGTTATATTTGCTTTAGTTTTCAGAGGTAAAACCATTATTCCTACAGGATTCCATTTTAAGAGAAAAGTACCCTATTTTTGCTTACTTTGTTGCTTTTCTAAAATCTACAACATTGCAACTATGGCATAACAGTATCAAAAAAAAAATAAAAATAAAAGCTACACTGTTTTGATCATATCACCTGGGCTCATCAAAGCATTGTCTAATTTATATTGTAAAAACAACAAAAGTTGCTTTTAATGAAGTATATTAGTAAGATTTTAAGAATTCACACACACACACACACACACACACACACACACACACACACACACACACACACACACCTTCCAGTATCTACTTTGTTATTTCCATGGCTATTGTGATCTACCTCCCAAGTACTTCCCTGTACAATCCAGGGAGATTGTTATTAACCCCAAACTGGCCTACAGTGAGAGCCCCAAACCATGAGGAGCATGAGTTGAGTCCCACCTGAATGATGTTTGGGAAAACATCTACTGCTATTAAGGCATTGCTTCTCAGGACATAGAGACCAGGCTTCAGTTCTATTACAGTGATGTCTGTAAAGCCAGGGTTGGGCTGGTTTATGAGATTTCTGTTAGAGGCAGTCTATATTCCATTTAACCATGCGAACCCAACTTTTTTTTTGTTTTTTAAACAGGTGCAGTGAACTTTATTGATGGTACTCAAGAGAGCAGGGCTCCCTAAGCCCCTTCATTCTGGGGGTCTGGGATGGAAACTGTGAGGGAGATTAGTGTCAGGGGTTGTTGGATAGGGACTGCTCAGCAGCCAAGGCCTCTCTCTTGCTCATGTCCTTGCTGGGGGTGGATGGTCTATGATGGGCTCTTATTCTTTGGAAGCCGTGTAGCTTCCACCCTGTTGCTATAGCCGAATTCATTGTCATACCAGAAAATGAGCTTTACGAAGTTGTCATTGAGAGTGATGCCAGCCCCAGTGTCAAAGATGGAAGAGTGGGAGTCACTGTTGAAGTCGCAGGAGACAACCTGGTCCTCGGTGTAGCCCAGGATGCCCGTCAGTGGGCCCTCGGATGCCTGCTTCACCACCTCCAGGCAACATGTCAGGTCCACAATGGATGGGTAGGAACATGGAAGGCCATGACATTGAGCTTCCTGTTCAGCTCTGGATGACCTTGCCCACAGCCTTGGCAGCTTCAGTGGATGCAGAGATGATGCTCTTGGCAGCCCCACGTCCATCACGCCACAGCTTCCCGGAGGGGCCATCCACAGACTTCTGGGTGGCAGTGATGGTGTGGACTGTGGTCATGAGTCCTTCCACAATGCCAAAGTTGTCATGGATGACCTTGGCCATGGGGAGCTAAACAGTTGGTAGTGCAGACAAATTTTGTCCTCACTCCATAAAACAAACCAGAGGACAGATATGAGAGCCATACAAAAAGGAAATAATACTAGAAAGAGTTATTTTTAGCTAAATTATTTGCAAACCTGTATTTTCATTTATATTGAAACATAGACCATGACTATATACAGTATAATTTACCCTAGAGTACTAGGAATGTTCTCTATTTTTTTCTAGAACTCTCTTTGTTTCTTGAAATGGTCAGAGAAGTAAAGCTAGGAGAACCCTGCAAAACTGATTTAGGAACCCAGATTTTAACTGGAGGCAAAACCAGTGGCCTTTAGCTGCTCTGGCCTTTTTTTCCTGGCTGTTCAGAACCAATTCCTAGTTAGCATAGGAATTGGCCTAGTCATTGTCAACACCGAACTTTTCCACTTCTCTAAGGGATGTTACTGATGGAGGGGAGTACGGGTATGTCTAAGGACCTGGGCAGGGCTCTTCCCTAAGGAAATGGAAAGCATGGTTATCTGGTACTTAGAAAGCACCCTAAGTGTAGCACAGCAGGGAGTCTCAGCTTCTTGGGTCTGGGTGGCCTCCCTCTTTCCCTGCACCATCTCTGACGGTAGAAAACATGCTTTAGGTTTCCTCCTCCAGTCAGGGTCCTTCTCCATTTTGAGACACCATGTCCAGGACGTCTTTTCCAGGAAGATTCCCCATGGCTTCTTCGTAGGAGGGTGGCAGGCAGGTCAGGTGCAGGGTCCCAAAGACGGGCAGTGGGGAATAGGGGACAGCTTGCTCGCTGCCCCAAGGCAAGCTGGGCAAGAAGTCGGTCACCTCTCCTGCAGGGGACTCTGGGAGGTCGATGCTGAACACCTGGCCTTGGGCCTGTGCAGCTTGGCAGCGTCGGTACAGAAAGAGCAGCAGGAAGGCCAGGAAAAGCACGATGGTGGCCGGAAGTAGGATGCACAGGAAAGGTTTCACATCTGCCTGAGTGGAGCTCACCTGCTGGCTGCCCTGGAGTTAGCAAGGAGATGAGTTAGAGGAAAAGGGCAGGTGAGCCTTGCCACTTTAGCCTAGGGACCCCAGGTGAAATAAAGTGAAGCTCATGCCGAAGTATGCTTTTGGAATGTCCATGTACACATGACATGGAGGTTAGAATGCTTTAATACCTTCATTTTGCTAAGTGCACCTATTATTGTTTTCACTGGGAACCCATATCATCTATCTACTTACTTTGTTTAGAATTAGGCCAACAGTGTTTTATTGGCACATAAGACACAAATAATATTCGTCTTTAATTCTGGAACAAAATCTCATATGGTTATAAGTTCATACCACATGTAAATAATTGATGAGTTCGGATTTCATAGCTTCAGTTAGAGTTATAATTAAGCTTGATTATGTAATATTGGCATGACAAGCAGAATTGAATATATTTAATTTTACTTTTGTAGGAGATGTTGGGACAGTCTTGCTATGTAACCCTAGCTGGCTTTGAACTAGCAGAGATTGTCTTTGACTCCTGGGTATATACCACTACCTGTGACCTGAAAGTTTATGAATTTTTAAGTAAAAAAGAATTGCACATAATCCAATACGGTGACTCAAACCTTTAATCCCAGCAGTGCTGGAGGGGAAAGGGGAGAAAGTAGGGGGAGCATGGGTCTAGCCTTGGCTACACAGAAAGTCTGGGATCAGCCTGGGGTACATAAGTCAAAACAAACAAACAAATTACAGGAAAATTCCCATACAACCTAAAAGATTGTAATTTTGTAGTGTTAGCACACAAAAATAATAATGGTTTCTGATGGAGTAAGTAATGTCATGGATTAATGCTTCAATAGCAGAGTTGAAATGCAACCTAAAAATACTGCTGTAATTGCACATATATTATTTTAAGGTAATCTACTAAGGATATATTTCAAAGTTTCTGTATTATATGAATAAAGCATAAAGTAAAAATGCAAATACCTGTGACCATGGGAAAGAAATACTTTAAAGGTGAAAACTATGTTTAAAATGGGGTGGGGGGAAGGCTGAAGAGATGGCTCAGAGGTTAAGAGCACTGATTGCTCTTCCAGAGGTCATGGTGGCTCACAACCATCTGTAATGAGATCTGATGCCATCTTCTGAGGAAAACCAAGCAGATGGAACATTGCATACATAATAAATAAACACATCTTAAGACAGAAAGGAAGGAAGAAAAACAAAAAGCAAATTGAAATAGCAAGCTCATTGCATAGGAAGAGTAAGCATAGACGCTACTGTGAGAATCAATGCTCTCCCTTCTTGCTTTCACTTTTGGAGTTCTGTCTGATTTTGATGGGCAGGACAACTGGCACATCTTTCTTTGTATGGATAATCTCTTCTTAGTCTCTAAAAACTTTACAATATGTGTTCTTTTCTGGCTCAAAACTAGATGGTTGAATCTCTGCTTACACTGCCAGATTTTTATTCTTGGTAATGTGTGACTTGAGATCCTTCAGCTCAAGCAGCCTCAAAAACAAAGGCCTTCTTAAGAAGCAGAGCAACTGTAACCTTTGGGTTTGACAACTTGTTTTAAAATCCCTCTCCTATGTAACAATAAACAACACTTCACATCTCTGGTAATGGAAATAATGGTGTCTGATTTTGAGGATTAGCAAGGGAATGAAGTGAATTAATTTATGTAAAGATCTCAGGGAATGGTGAGACTTTATCTTCATGTTTCAAGTCACTAAAACTTACAGTAAAATACTAAAGACATCTTGATGGTGGTGGCACACACTTTTGATCCCAGCACTTGGGAGGTAGAGGTAGGTGGATCTCTGTGAGTTCAAGGCCAGCCTGGTCTACAGAGCAAGTTCCAGCGCAGCCAGGGCTGTTACACAGAGAAACCCTGTCTCAGAAAAAAAAAAAAAATTACTACTGATGACAACCAGGAGAAACCTAGAAATTACTTCACAGTAATAAAACCTAGCATTACTAAATTCATATTTTATGTATATATGTATATATTCAGGAAAATTAGTAATGTATTTTGTGTGTGATTGATTTTTTAAATTAGAGATTTCTTTTGTTTTCTCACATATAATCTAGTTAGTATTAGAATAATGTACTTATTGTGACATAATATGGGGCTTTGTAAAAGCATTAGAATTCACAAAGCTATAAAGGAATCCACTGAAATAGCAAATCAAATTTGACTACAAAAGAAATTTAACTATAATTCCTTTTCTCTTTCTAGTTTAGTTATTAATATGTTAAAGATAACATCCCCTTTAAAATAATAATCACCCCTAAAACACAGATCATTATTTTTCAATGTGTTTTTTAAATTTTTCTATATCAATAACATGATAATGATTTCTGGTCTATTATGTTCATCAAATTTTAAATTCTCTATTAAACCTGTGAATTTAATATGTACTTGATACAAAGGTACTTAACATTCTATTTAAAAGGTATTAGGCAATAGATGCTATTGTTTACAATGATGCCACACTTGGCATTATCAATATTAGTTGCAAAAACATTGGGAAAGGAAAAATAATGCAGTCCTAAATGAAATCAGTGTTATCACTGGTTTAGTACTTTTGTCCCAATAGTAAATAGTATTAGAAATGTTTTTGTTTTGTTTTATTGTTTAGCATGCAGAGTACTACAACCTCCTGAGACAGAGTGCTCTATTTTTCCAGTTAAGAAAATTTCAGAGATATATGCAATGCATTATAGTATTCTTAATTTCCTTATTGGATTATTCATGCTATGATGGTTAAAATTGGTATGTGTTCTTAATATAGAAAAGTCATTATTCCTGCTCAAAGACTCTAAATCCTTTCCTATACTCCAAGTTGTTTCTTAACTTCTGATAGTTTTCTGATGTTTGTGTTTACTCAAGGGACTTTTTAGAAAAATACTGAGTTTAACGTACAACATGTAGAGGACCTATTTTTCTAAACTAGGATGTATTTTCTATAACACAGGTTTAGGAGATTTTAAACACCCGTCTCTCCCAGTTTTCTAGAAAATGAGAAAATAAGTTTATTTCCCTCTCATGTGTGGTCAGCATGCCATTCATTTATCCTGTGATTACAGTATCTTTGTTTATAGATTTCTATACATTTTTTTTTTTTACTTTAATGATGCTCAGATTGATACTCCTTTGGTGATTTGCCAGACAGCTTAAAGCAGTGAATGAGAAAACTTCCTTAATCCCCTGCCGTCTTTCCTGAAGATGCTATGTTTCTGTGAACTGGCAGACACAGTGCAGTGCTCACAATACAGCCAGGCACAACAAACAGCCTCAACCTCTTAGGATTGTATATAACATGTGGACATTGCACACTGAGCACAGAACACAGCTAAAAACACATTTTAAAAGTCTTGTTTCCCAGCCTCAGGTGTTCTTTGATCTATAATTGATAGAACAAATATTCCTATCTACATTTGCGATTGCCAACCGCCCCCCCCAACCCTCACGTTATTTCCTACAGATGACTAATCAGAGCTCATACTTTTATTATACCAATTCACTATTCAGCGTAGCCACTAAGTTTTAAAACCTGAAAACAGAGGTACTGTTGGATTAAAGAGCTAAGTAACATACTCTAGGGGAAGAAATGACTGAATCCAGAGATACAGACCTGCAGCTGGGGCTCCAGAAGTTGCAGGCTTGGTTCGCTGGTTAGCCATTCATATGTCCCCCTGCCAGCATGGCCAAACTTCCTCCAGCTGCTGCCCAGCAGTCCCCTCATGTTTCCATCTGCTGATGCCCTGGCTACCCTTCCACCCTGCTGCCCAGATTCCACAATGCTGCTTGCTCTTGGCTTGGAATCAGGGTGGATGTGTTGGTAACCCTATCTTCTGATGAGTGGCAACAGGGAAAATAATCCAAGCAGAGGGACTTCTTCAGAGCAGGTTTAAAACCGGTGCTTTTGGAATGGTTTTTGTGGCCTTTCCTACCATAGGGGTCAGAAAATGTTCTTAGAAATGGAACAGATCCTAGGTGAGTTTCCTGCATTGCACTCTTACAAAGTGTGGTTTTATGCACTCAGTGCATACAGAGCTGTTCATATTTAGATGTAACTAAGACCCGCCCCCTTCCTTTCCCATCTCCTTCTCAGAGACATATCTGATCCAGCAAAACCACACAGGCTGAATTATCCTTAACGATTTCTGGATTCTATTGTACAGAATAGTAAAGAGGTATTTGGTAGAGAATCAAGGACCATTAATAATCCTTACTGAATTATTTAGATGAAAGATGCTTAATGATAAAATTGTATAGAAGCCAGACAGACAATAGCTTAGACTGTTTGGATGTGATGTTTGCTGACTTCTTTTTTCCTTCCTTCCTTCCTTCCTTCCTTCCTTTCTTTCTTCCTTTCTTTCTTCCTTTCTTTTTTTTTTTTTAAATCAATTACCAGTATCTAAATAGTCTTCCTTCTGATTATCTTGTAAAGTTTATAAAAATACTGATAACAAACTTCAAATAAGAGGTTTCCAGGTTGACTGTTTACTAGGCTAACTTGGGGACATTTAATCACAGGTATGCTAACTAACATGTACAACATTGTCTCAGCCTGTTCATGTTACTGTTCTATACATAATAGCTAAGAGTGGGTAACTCATTAAGAATACAAGGTCATGTGTTACAGAGCTGAAGTCGGGAGAGTCCAATATCAAGGTGCTAGCATTTGATGTGTGTTGAGATGCTTCATGTGCCCTCATGTAGTGGAAGACAGAGGATCTGGCTAATCATACAGCTGTGTGACACTTCCCTCATAAGGATATCAATCCTCCTCATGAAGAAGATATCACAGCCTAATGTCCTCTGAGGCCCACCTCTCACAGTCAAGCCACAGCAGACTTTGTGGTTGGGATAAAGTGATTGTCATAGACTGAAATATTCAACTTGGAATTTTTTCCTTATTTAATTAGAATTATTGGTGGTCTGTGGCTAGGTTTTAGGGAGTCACAGACTTACAGATAGGTGCAGTTTGTGGGGAGGATCCACAGTTAGTTACCATTGCCTTTTCAAAGACAGCTGTCCCTGCCTGGTAGAACTTAGTCCTTGCCTAATTCACTTGTGTTGTAAATGTTTGCTAGGTTTTCCAGTGTCAGTATCCTCCCCTACAAGTCCTTCCTGCCTTATCCTTTTCTTTACCTTGTTTACTGTGCAGTTAGCTTACTTTGTACTTTCAGTTAAGACACTGCTTATACCAGAAGCATCCAGCAACCTGTACCTTGTTGTGTGACACTGTTCCTGGGGAGATGTAAACAAATGACTACTCACTGCAGATAGAGAGCTGATCAGACCAAAGTCACTATACCACCAAGGTCCAACATGAAAAATAGTTCATTTCATTAGGTTAATTACCCGAGGGAAGGGTTACGTACAGGAGTGGAAATGACAGCTGTATCACCAGAGTCCACCTCAACCTAGGTGGCAGATCATGACACCCGGAAATCTGAACTGCACTGAGCAACCTGTGAGCACCTCAATGGGATAGAAAGGCTTCTTTCCAGGCAGTTTGCTTCTTCGGCCTGAGCTTCTTCCAGGCAGCTCAGCTCTTCTGAAAGTCTCTCAGCAGTCCTTGTCTTCTGCATTTTGGGGAAGGGAGGGGTCTATTGAATCTGCTCTGTTTTAGGGGCTTTCTGAAGTGGTTGATTTGTCTAGTTCCAGAGCTTGCCTTAGAACAGCCTGTTATTTCACCATCCTGTAAACATCCTGTGTCTTAAGGAGTGAGCTCCCCTCCTCATCTCCTCTGTAACATCGTGTCTTAACACAAGGAAGGAGCCAAGACTGAGAGCAACGGGCATATACATGTGAAGGTGGCAGGTGATGGTGTTTAAGGTCAAGAAGCAGACAGTTAGTGAACCAAGAAAGCCGATCATGAAGTGCAGGGTTTGTCTGCAAGGCAGATGGAATTCCAGTTGATGGGGAACCCCTTGTGTGGCTGAGAGCATTGGGGAGGCACGGTCTGTATCCTTGGAACAAGAATGCTGTGACAGTTACTGTTATCTGTGTAAGTTCATCCCCAATAAACACCTTTTTATCTTTCATCTTGGTTAGTTGAACTCATAACTCCATGCCTTCAGTCTCCTAGGCATTATGTGCCCTTAAACTCATGAAATCGTATGAACTGGACCCTTTACCATTGCATCATGGGTGGAGGAGAATGGGCTCATTCATCCCATCTTCCCTGAGAAACTATCGGCAGTTACTTGAGAAGGCAGAGTCATTTTCTTCAGTGATGGAGCCACTATTTAATTGCTGGTGCTTCAATACATAACTCCCCTCCCATGCTTGTGTAAACCCTAATTAAACTCAATGGGTTCTAAACATACATACATGAAAGAGATTAAAAGGAGGGGGGTGCTGCTGGGAAGAAGAGGGTTCAGAAGGAGGTGGAGGGGATCAGAGGGTATGTATGATCTGATCAAAATGCATTATATACATGTATGAAGCTGTCAGAATTAAAATTTTAAATATACTTTAAAAAGGAAGGAACTGTTCTGTCTTTTGATATAAAAATAATTAGCAATAAGCATATGCTATGAAGGCAAGAAAGAAAACAGAATAGGAACCCACCACCACCATGTTTGATGACAAGAATCTACACAGATTTTAGAGTTGAAATCCAACTGTATAAAAGGTTGCAGCAGATCCAGGCCCTTGGCTCTGTCAGCTAAATGTAGCTCATCAAATCATGAGTCAAAATAGAGGCCAGGGTTATGTTTCTCTCCTCAATAAGTCCTGCTGTAAATCAACTAGCAGTCCTGTGATTTATTTTAGAAAGAATATGACATTGATCAAATAAGTGCTCGTATTAGATTAACCAACATACTATGAGAATTCAAAGGAAACAGCCCCTCGTTCTAATTTGAGTAGAAATTACAGGCAGGAAATTATAGAACATTACCTCAGAGTGACTTTTATATGGAACTTCAAGCCTGGGCAAGTTTTGGAATAATTCTGTTATTTGCATTTTGTATTATCATAAAAATATTGTAAAACACAAATCAGCAAACAAAGAATCATACATAGTCTCATAAAATAAAATGAAAAGCCTGTAACTCTATTGATTAGCAAAAGATAGAAAGAAAGGAAAAAAGGGAGGAGAGATGGAGGGAGGGAGAAAGAGACCCATTGTTAACATTTTCTCCTCCTCCTCCTTTCCCATGTCTAGAATTGAACTCAGAGCCTTGTGAGCGCTAAGCACATGCTCCCCTACTAAGTTACTCCCTTGTCCCTTGTTCCTCTACCTTAAACGGGTCACATCTACACCTGTAACTATGCCCAAAGGGTGTGGCCACTGTTACAGGTTCACAGGCAAGATGTGGCTACAGGAGATGTGTTCTATAAACTCTCAACCAGCTCACTTTCAATGTACAGAATCCTTTTTGGGGGGAGAAGTGGGTGTGCAAGGGATAGAGTCTATGACCCATAGCCTAGGCCTATGCTAGTGAACTAGTGAACTACACCCACCTCCGCTCAGGACATTTACAGCCCAATGTTAATTACAATGTTAGCACATTGTAACTATCACATAAGCTCCCCTATTCTCCTTTAGAATGCCTCAATAGAAAACTATATTTTCTACTTGATTATTATTTGTCTCCTCAGACTGACATCTTTCTCCTCTTTTTTTCTTTAATCTCTTTGTACTCAACATATTTGATTTGCTGTGATACTTTTTAAAATAGCTGAGATTCCTAGATTTTTCTCATTTTACTAATTGTGAATCAGTTGGACATACAGTTTGCTTGCTATATTTCATATAATGCTTTTGGGCTAGCAATGAAGAAAAATTCCTAAGACACTAATAGAGAAGATTAAAATGAACCAAACAGAGTATGAAATGGTAGATATTTGCCTCCATATTACATTTCTGAGCTAGGAAATACATTTGAATCTTAGTAAACAGATCAACACACTGTCTTAAGATTCTGTTATAGGAATTAAATATGCTGGTATCTGATTAGGGTGACAGAAAAACTAATTGGCAGTCTTCAGGCATCATTGTAATAGATCACCCTGCCTGAATCAGACTTCCACGGGGGATGCAGGAGGTCACCCAAGGGTCACATATCTGGTGAGTTCTCCTGAAGGCTTGGCTTGATAATCTGGAAGGAAGCAACAGTTTGACTAAATCCACTGGAAGCATGCACCGAAAAAAAGACTAATCCCTGTGTTGTTTAAAAAAAAATCACACACATACACACAGTAGTCTAGAACGGGCAATAATAGAAACTACTGATACAGAATTTGCTCTGGAAAACCATAAGCACTTATGAGACTGGAGGTTTTCATAGAAAGTTAAGTTAAAAGTTCTAAAGGAACAGTCTTTTCACTGTTTTATCAGCTCCCTATATTTTGAGTTCTATTTGCAATAGAAAAATATTTTACTTTTTTTTTTTTTTAAGAAAAATCAAGGAATAGGATATGAAATTTATAAACTTACAGTATTGTATGGTATATGTTCCCAAACATTTGTCAATTATCTTTTTATGGCTGAAACCAAGGAAAATCTAGTCATATTTAAATTAGAATAATAATCATAAATATTTTGAAATGAAATTAGTATTTTTAAATGTTTATTTTATTGCATATGTGTGTTTTGTCTGCATGCATGTATGTACATCTCGTGTGTAATTAGTCCCATCAGAGGCAGAAGAGGGTGTTGGATCCTCTGTAATTGGAGTTACAGATTGTTGTAAGCTACTATGTAGGTGAAACAAATTTTTCTAA